GTGAGGGGCTGTGTTCAGCTACGGTGAAGTTTTTTTGGAGGGTAATTACATGGTGGGTAATTTACAAGCGCACCTGCCCGCACTGTGCTGAATGCTGGCAGTTTTTGACCAAACACGGCATAACCCCTGTGCCCCACCCTCCCTATTCACCTGATCTCACCCTGAGCGACTTCTTTTTTTGTTTCCCAGATGAAAAAAATTCTCAAAGGGAAATTTTTTGCCATTGTGGAAGGGGTGAAACAAAAAATGACAGAGGCACTAAAAGGCATCAGAATGACAAGTTCTAAAACTTCTAAGCAGTGGAAGAAGCATCTCGATAGCTGTATTGCATCCAGTGGAGAGCACTTTGAAGGTGATTGAAGTTTAAACATGTAAGAATTCATACACAAATTTTTATAAGTAAATTTCGGGGTTTTTTTTTGGAGGGTTCCGTTTGTATTTGGTGAAGCTTTATCCTCATTATATTTTCTGGATAGTCGCACGTGGACATGGTAAGGGACATTCCTTATTTATTTGGCCCAGACAGCTTTGTTGAGCCTGGTATCACTAAGCACATCTGGAGCGTCCATCTCCTTCGTGGCAAATTTCCAGATGTCTTTGAGTGCCCAAGGGGAGCGCTTCATGTAGCCCACTCTATGGATGCGCTTGTGAATGCTGAGGGTGTATTCTTGGGACACCTCCTCGTTGACGGCAGAAAGGCCCTTCTTCTTGTCATCCTTCTTTGCAGGTGCTGTCCCACCAGGCCCAAGTTGGAAAGGAAAATCACGAGGGACTGTGGAAGAAAGCAAGCGCCCATGAAGCTTCTTGGGTTATTTAAATATATGCATGTGTGGACTGGAGCACAAGGTGAAGATTCATCTCACTGCAGCCACAGCAGGAGAGCATGGCAGGATGGATGGCCACATGAATGGGTGCCACCTTGGCATGGAGGCGGGGTGGGCAGAGAGCAGTCAGAATCTCCCCGCCCCCCACCTGGGGGTTAGAGGTTGTACTGGAAGGGGTGGCAAAGGTTGGAGGTGCTTCCCAGGGGCAGGGACGTTGGAGCTGGGTCCTGAGGGGCGATCGGAAAGGAGACTTGACTGCTTATAAAGGGTTACAGCCTGCAAGGTGGACTTCCGGTAGCCTCTGGCAATGACCATTAGCAGGTGCTTCAAAGAAGGAGGGGTAGGGAGATTTATGCTGAAGGGGTTGGCTAAACATATGTTTTCAGCAGGTTACAGGAGGATCTGTGAATATTTATGAAGGGGTCGTGCCACATGCATGGTGAAGAATCATGCACGTTACATGTGTCCCATGTTCACCTTGGGGTGGAGATTTAACATTTAAATATATACAGGCCAAGTGTGGTGGCTCACACCTGTAATGCCAGCACTCTGGGAAGCTGAGGCAAGGGGATTGCCTGAACCCAGGAGTTTGAGACCAACCTGGGCAAAACAGTGAGACCTCGCATCTACAAAAAAACAAAACAATCAAAAAATTAGCCAAGCATGGTGGCACGTGCCCATAGTCCCGGCTGCTTGGGAGGCTGACACAGGATTGCCTGAGCCCAGGAGGTCGAGGCTGCAGTGAGCCTTGCCACTGCACTCCAGCCTGGGCAACAGAGTTTCTCCTGACTCAGGAGAAAATAAAAATAAAAAAAAGCATTACAATTAGGCCCTACACATCAAAAAGGCATTTTCAGTACACAAAGGCACACTGTGCACCCTGTAAACCAGCAAGAACCAGTCCATGGTGGGTGGTCTCTGTTAGGAGAAAGTTACTGACATCAGTCTTGCATCCAATTAAGGCTGTGGTTGTGGCTGGTGGAACAGGGTTCAGTCTGCAGTCAGTGTCTGTGAGCTGGATACGTTGTAACTGTTTCAAAATTCCTCATCTAGAGGCCAGAGCTTATTTAGTTGCTAGAGAAGAAAAACCTTGTGGCAGTTAGCACATAGTTTATTCTTAAGGGTGGAGCCCTTGCCTGCAATGGCCTTAGATCCTGTTTATAGTTTTGTATCTCATTGCCACAAGGAGTCTGATCTGCTAGTCTTATGGTCTCTATTTTAACATTAGTGCTTGTCAGCTGTTGTGTCTAAACCACAAAAGGGAGTGGCTGGGAACTCAGTTTTAAGGTTTTTCTGCTAGGCACAGTGGTTCACGCCTGTAATCCCAGTACTTTGGGAGGCCAAGGTGGGAGGACTGCTTGAGGCCAGGAAGTGGAGGCAGCAGTGAGTCATAATTGTGCTACTGAACTCCAGCCTGGGTGACAGAGACCTCAACTCAAAAAAAGTTTCTTCTGGGGTCCTCTTGGTCAAGTGGGGGTCTGTTCAGAGGGTGGGGGGCTTAGGGTTTTAGTTTTTATTCTCAGTTGAGTAGGAGCTCAGCAGGTGGAGGAACAGTGGTGAATAGACCAAGGCTCCCACCTGGGGCAATGGTTTCTAGGAAGGAGGGGGCCTTGGGTAGCTAAGGGGAGAGGCTGGACCCAGCCAGGCTGGAGATAAAAACACACAAAGCACCATCCCCAGCCTCTGCGGAAACCCAGCCTGGGGAGAACGTGCCTTTCTAAGAAACACTTCTCAGAACACCCCCTTCTCCTAGCCTCTTCGACTGCTGACCTTCACAGCTGTTCTGGAAACTTCCACACTCCCTGTTGGAATTTCCTCCCTCCACTGGTTGTGGGCCTCAGGTTTTCTGGCTTTCCTTCCTCTGATCCTGACCCTGCCATGCCCTCCTCACCCACAGGCAGGGCCAGGGCCACCAAGCACCTCAGTTCCTTCGTCTAAGACAGGGGCAGGTTAGGATTAGAGATTGCATGAGGAGGCAACCTACGGGGAGCTAGGGAAAGCCGGCGGCCCTTGCAGGTCAGCCAGAGAAAGGGCGACCCAAGTTGTCCTCCGTGTTCCAGAGGAACAGCCTCAAAGAGGCCACTCAGTTATGACTACAACAAAAGAGCAGAGTCTCTGTCATCCAGGGTTGGAGTTGCTTTCACGTGTGCAGAAAGCAGATTCTCCGAACTTCAATTCAAGGCAGATGGGACTCGCCACCTAACACGAGGTGCCTGGAGTGCTTCCCCGATTCTTATGCCTCTGCTGAAACACTTTCCGGGTCTGCCCCCCCCCCCCCCCCCCCCCCC